AGAGAGAGAGAGAGAGAGAGAGAGAGAGAGAGAGAGAGAGAGAGAGAGAGAGAGAGAGAGAGATGGAGAGGGGAGGGGTGTGTTTGGTAGTGGTTGCAGTGGTGTTTGCGGGGTGTTGTGGTGTGTATTTGACGGAGGCATCAGGCGTTAGCAACGACAACCTCGACAAGAGACACGAGGAGGGAGGAGAGCTGAGGAGGGGGAGGGGGGTGACGTCGAATGGAGGAGAGGGGACACGGCGTAATTGGGTTCGAAAAGGGGTACTAGGAGGAGGGAGAAGGGGGCGCTATCTCACATCGGTTTGCCACCCTGCTTGCTCGAACGATTTAGTTTGCTGCGATGGTGAGTGTAAGAAGTCCTGCGTCTACGGGTATGGAGGAGAACATTATGGGGGAGGAGGCAATGCCCAGATAACTATTTTAGGGGGGTGTAATGGGGGTTGCCCTTACGGTCGTGCCTGCTGCGATGGCATCTGCACTGACCTTCGGACCAGCTTGTCCAGTTGCGGAGCCTGTGGCAAAGTCTGTTCCTATGGCCGTACGTGCTGTGGGGGCAAGTGCGTCGACCTATCTGTGGACAACGACAACTGTGGGAGGTGTAGAAGAGCATGCTCAGTCCGGGAACGCACCTGCTGCTCTGGTCAATGCGTCCGTCTAGGTTCGGACCCTCGTAACTGCGGCCTCTGCGGTAAAAGCTGTGGCAAAGACGTCTGCATATCTGGTCGCTGCCAGGCGTACTAAACGCAGGATGGGGGGAAAAAGAGAGAAGTAGGTACTGAAGGGGAGGGGACGAACCTGGAGGAAAAAGAGGGTAGGTACTGAAGGGGAGCGGATGAACCTGGACGGCAGACACCCTTTCTGGGAACTCAAACTGCGACTCTCCTACATGCATCTGACTGCAGATGCGGCCAGCTGCGGGCGGGTGCATCTGACTGCAATCGCGTCCAGAGCTGCGTCCCAAAAGTCCTGATGTGTGAGCTATAGGACCTAAAACAGTGCGAAGAAAACACGAAGGAGACCTTTTGTCTCTGCTGGTCTGTTCGTGGGTGGACTTCGATCCATTCGATAATAAGTTGCGTTTGACAAAGTCCCTTGTCATTAACTTGGCATCAATATTGAGAAAGAAACGACAAAACAGGCTCGTGTCTGATCTGAATCGGGACTGGATTTCGATAAGTATGAGTATGAGGGACTTGATTTGGAGGAGGAGTTGACTTGGCTTTGGGGATGGTATCCGTACACCGACCGGTCGTTGGCAATGATCGCCTTGCAGAGACCCGTATCTTGTCGGGTCTCGAAAGCCTAGTACCGTAGTTACGTAGTACGTGCTTTTGCCACGTATTTGGCTGGAATTTCGGCCAGATTGGGTCTCGAAAATTTTACTTTTTATGTCTTGAGCAGTTGCCAACGTACCGCTCGAGAACTTGGCCGACCGGCCCGAACGACCAGTTGCTAAAG